AAAATATACAATAAGCCTGCAAGTTAAAAAAAAAAAAAAAAAAAAAAGACCAAAGGCATAAAGACCATTCCAGGCAAAACAACCACCAGCACTTTCCACGTGGCCCTGGCTTCCTGGGCTTTGGGGGGCACGTGGTCTTGACAGCAGCACAAAGTTCTCAAAAGCCCCCAAAGGTGACGGGCGCCTTCAGCTCCTGGCATCCCTCCTTCCTGCCAGGTGAGCCTCATGTAACATTTACACTGGATTTAATGGGAGAACATGACACGCACTGATTTTCAACAAACTCCTGTTCCTTCAGAGGAAGAGTCGGGAAAGAAAGCAGCTGCACGCCACATCCTCTGCTATTTTGGTCCCCCGACCGTGATCTCCGTGGCCTACATATCATTTAACAAACTGCCCTGCGATTCTTGTAGGGCGTGGCGTCCAGACTGATTTAAAATCCCTGCATTGCTAAAACTGCATTGTTCTTCATCAAGTTGAGTCATTTTTATGTGAAGTGTCAAGCTCTCTAACAAATAATTCCTGCCAGACAAATCAAGTTCCTCGTCTTAGAGCCGTGGCTAAATAGTTTATAGCTTTAATCTGCTCACCGAGGTGTGCAGTCTATGACAGTAATTATAAATGCAAGGAGAAATTATAGCTGAATGCTTTAACTGCATTAGGAGCCGTTTGATGAACAATCATGAGTGCCTGCTCGGTTCCAACAATAGAGGGCAAGTTAGTGTCAGTGCATTAGAGAGATTTCAGTTCTGCATGGCTTTTCCTCCCATTTACCACAGAATGTCACTTGTCTCCTATAAAGTAGAAAAAAAAGCACCGTGGAAAGCTTTAAACTTGATAGTTAAAAAAAAAAAAAAGACAAAGAGAGAAATGCAAGGGAAACTGTTTATCATTATGATTTCTTTCTTTCTTTTTTTTTTTTTTTCGCCTGTTTTGTTTGGCGTCTGGTTCGGTTTCAAATTAGTTCGTTGAAGGTAGCTGCTTGTTTACTTACTAGGTGCCTTAAAAAAAAAAAAAATCCCTCCCCAAGCCGTTTCCGTGAAATCTTTATAGAGGAAGACTTCCTTAAATGAAGGGGCAAGTTCAGAGTGGGCCCAGGTCGAAGCTCTAGCCGTCCTAGGTGTCCCCCCCAACCCCATGAGGTCCTGCTCTCCATCTGTATCTACCTAAGCTAATGACACAATTCAGCTCTTTATTTTCCCCTCCTCACTTTCGCGGAAAGACGTTTTTAATTTAGCTGAAGAATTACACAAATGTATTTTAAAGACATAAATCCATATAAAAAATATGAGCTAATTAAAACATTGCACTCCCTGTCGCTCATGGATTTTCAATTTAGCGAAAGAAAAAAGAATTGCATCTGGTTAAATGAAAAGATGATACTGATGGCAGATTGGAGTAAATGAAAAATAATGTTACTCTATATTAAAGCACCAAATTATACACGTCAGGGTTGAGATTTCGAAGGTCCCGATGAGGGGGACAGTGCAAGGGAGAGGGGGACCGGCGATGCGCGAGGGAGGCAAGCCAGATCGCTTGCATAAAATGGAAACATTAAAACAGATGACACATTTGTTTCTTGCTGTGTTGGAGATACGCTAGTCTCATAGCTGACCCTGTTTCTGAATTCTCATTTTGCTTCCCCCGAGTGAGAGTCAGGATGAGGATCAAAAAAAGAAAAATAGGGTACGTGTATATTTTCACTGGAATGCGGGTCATCCCTTGGTTAGACACCGAATGGTACAGGTGGACTTGCCTGGCCGGGCGAGGCCGTTGCAGCCGGAGGAGCGAGGATGCCTCCCTTCACCCCGTGGGCCTCTCCCGGGCTCCCGACTTTCAATATTTGCTTTGCAGCTGGAGCCTCGGAGAAGCTCAGGAGAGAGGCTTGCCGGGCTCTGGCTCTTGTGCCACTGGTATAGCCTTTTTCTGGGCTGTTCGGTGTCCACGTGGCCAGGGGTCTCACCTAAAAACCATCAGGCAAGGCGGCGGGGATGCCAAGAGGCAGAAGAAGGCGAGGAGCGTGGAGCGGTCCCAGGCTTGAGTCCACCTGCCCACTGCCCTTGTGCTGGTGGACAAGTCACGAAACCCTCCGGCTCGTGGCAAAATCAGAATGCCATGGATCGCCACGCCTGGCTCGCCGAAGAAGCCACTCAGTGGGAGTGTTGCTGTCATTTGCTATCGTTATGATCAAATAGCAAGTGGAGGCCTCCATGGGGGCACCTGGGGAGAAGCCACACGTCTACACACTTGAGGTGATCAAATAGCAAGCTGAGGGTTCCATGGGGGCACCTGGGGAGAACACACGTCTACACACTTGAGGTGATCTAATAGCAAGTGGAGGCTTCCATGGGGGCACCTGGGGAGAAGCCACATGTCTACGCACTTGAGGTGAGCCTGAAGAACACGGGCCTCCCGTAGAGGCTGTGGAGCACTGACTTTTCCTGTGAACCTCCTAGTTGCCAGGCTCTCTGGAAAGGAATTGCACAGGCTGATTTAATTCTCACAAATTTTCTATGAGGGGACAACTGTGCTCCCATATTATAGACCCAGAAGCGGGCCATGTCTTGGGGAGAGTGGATGAGTTAGGATTTGCACCCAAGCCGGAGAGCCTGGGCAGCCAGAGGAAGCTCTAACATCGCGTGCCCCCCAAAGCCATCATGCCCCCTCCTGGGCCTCCTCCCGGGAGTCAGGCAGATGCCCCTCCTGTGTGCTCCAGTGAGCATTTACCCCAGAGCTGCCCATCTGCATGTCTACGGCGAGCCTAAAAGGCAGGCTCTTGTTCTGGTCACTGGTTTATTCCCTGGGATTAGCGCGGCGCATGGCCTGGAGTGATAGCCTTCTGGATAGGTGATAATGAATGAGCGAGGTTATGAGATCGCAGGAATTCATGCAGAATCTCTCTGCCTCCTTTTCCTCCCCTGTTACACGGTTGAATCAACCCCTACCTTATAGGGCTGCTTGTGAGACTAAAGTGGAATAATGTTTGGAAAGCGCTTGCCGGAGGGCCAGCACACTTGGCTATTATCATCAGCACGTCTGCTGGTTCCCCATTACGTAGCCATTGCTGAGCAGAGGCTGGTGCACAGTAGAAGCCAAACCGATGTTTGTTGTAAGATGAAGGAAACGCAGGGAGGGGACACAGGAAGGAGGGAGGACGGATTGAGGGAGCTAGGGAGGAATATTTATTTAGTGGATGAATGAAAGGGTGATGCCTCGTATAGACATTAATTAATCCAGCCCATTTTGCTTTTTCCAGAATGTCCTATAATCCATGCTGTTAGGGTTGCCAGATTTAGCAAATAAAAATACAGACTGCCCAGTAAAATCTGAATCTCAGATAAACAATGCACACTGAAAAAAATTTTTTTTTGAGTAAAAATATGGCCCCTGCAATATTTGGGACACGCTTATTCTAAAAACTTATTTGTTGCTTATCTGAAATTCAAATTTAACTGGGCATCCCGTATTTTATTTGGCAAGTTTACGCGCTGTTCACCCTGAACATGTGTTTTTATCAAATCACCCACAACAAAGGCGGCAGCTTATTGGACTAGAATTCATTCTTGCCCCCAATTTCAAGGCTAGGTGTGCTGCAAAACTTGTACACCGTATTACACGATAATGACTGTAATTTCAAGTCCTTATGCATTTTAGACTCATTGATTTGCTCTTTGTTTAATTTCTATTATTTGAGAGCATGTGGTTTTTAAAGGTATATACAAATACTTACTGAAATTGTTTTAGATTACTCATGTCCTAAAGTAGGGATGCACATTTAATATTGCCTAATTAATTTTTAATGAAACGTTGCCTTTAATATTTGGCAGAGCCTTCTGCAGGATTTAAGACCTATCTAAGAAAGGAAAGAAAATTCAGGCCAAAATTTGCGTCTCACAGAGAACACAGATACGATAGAGCTCCCAAATTTTCCATAAAATCTTGACCGTGCTTTCTAAGACATCATGTCCTTTTGTACAGTTTGTGCTATCATGCATACCAACTAAAATTAGAGTTCCGGATAACAGGGATCCCATTTTGTGATCACTGAAAAACATATATTTGCATAACTCTAAGCAGTGGGCAAGGTACTGGATGGATGTTGTTCTAAGAGGTGATCTCGAGGATGAAGGATTTCTTCCCTAGGTGGCCAGAGGGTCAGAGAGCCACTTCTGTGCAAATGTGGGAGCTATTCAGGCAGATTATAATATCATTAGTATTAATAAACACACCATGCACCCGCACCGTTTTTTTTTTTGTGTGTGTGTGTGTGTGTACACACAACACACGTATACTCCTATGGTTTAGGATGAGGCTTAAATACTCAAACTTGTTTCTCTGTAATCCTATCTCAAGAGCACAGCATCACGGTGTTTATATATGAATGGAGCTTTGGTTTCATATAATAGCTCTGTGATGTGGTGCTTCAAAGGTCCAAATCAGAAATATTTATTTTATACAAACGCAGAGGGATGAGAAGAGCTATCCAATCTAGGTATTTAAACAGATTTGTTAAGTGCCTTTGTGTCGGGTTTTCCAAATGATCAGTTTATCTTTGTTTCCTTAGAACAGACATGTACGTTTCAGATTTTGACTATGGCTTTCTTTTTCTCCCACCTTTCTATTTACGTATCGCAATGTTTTGGCAGTGATATTATTATTTTTTTTTCAAAGAATGATTACAAACCTAACAGGTGGAAAATTGGTCTTTATTGGAGCACAAATAAACATTACGTATTTGTCCTCTTCACCATGGTTTGGACCTACCACTATGGGATTGGAAACATCTCTCTTCTCCCTGGGTATTCTGTATATATCCACCTTTTTTTTTTTTTTCCCCAAGGACCAGCAAAGTATAATAGCAAGTTACATAAGATATAAAATGTTATATAGCAAATAAATAGAATGTTGCCAAGCCCCAAGCCCACTTATAGATTCAGTAGATGAATTTTGGCTTTTCTTTCAATAGTATGAGCTGAACAAATCATGCTTGGAAAGCAAGAGATGAATCTGCTAGTAACACATTTTAATTATCATGATAAAAACATGCAAACAAAATAACAGTCTTCATTTGGGCCCACGGAGCCATTAGAGTTATAGGATGGGATCCCCCTCCATCGGAAGCTCTTAGATCTTCTCAGTGAGGGGACAGTCCCAGATTTTCACCCTCGATTTCATCTTGACCATCCTCACACTTGGCAAATCTCCCCACCTGACGTGGGATGAGCCCAAAGCCACACCACGTAAGTACCCCTCCTCCACGTGGAGCTCTGCTCCTGCTCATACCTTTGTGGCTTGATCTAAAAATCTCCTATCTAAAAAACAAATGCTCTGACACTAGGGGGTGGTGAGGGCTTTTAGGTGATTACTGACTGTCCATAATCTTACTGTGAAGTAACCAAAAGAACTAATCTGTCACCTAGCATGACATAAACTGGACTGGCAAGTGCGGAAGCTTTAGGTCAGGTCAAGTCCCCGTCTGGGGTTGGGTGAGGGGTGGGGGGAAGGCCCAGGTAGAGGACAACTTGAGTGTGTGTGGAGGTCCCTAGCATGTAGGGGGGTATCATGCTGAAGAGCAGAGAGAAGGAAGCAGACAAAATACAAAAAAAAAAAAAAAAAAAAAAAAAGAAAGAAAGAAAGAAAGAAAGAAAGAAAGAAAGAAAAAAGAAAAAAAAAAGGAGATGAAGGGATTACGTGAATACCCAGCCCAGATTCGAAAGCGGCCGGTGTGGCAAGTCTGCCAAAATTATTTGACCTTGGTCTCTGTCCTCTTTCCTGAAGGTGACATAGAGAGTCTGGGCACCAGTGACTATACAAGGCACAGAACTTCTATGATACAAGATGCAAACGATCTTGAAGCTGTGGGACCGACCCCACGTGCATCGGCAATGGGTGTTCAGAAAGTCGTTCGTTTCTTTAGGAAAAGCAAACTGTCAAGGGCATGCAGCGCATCTATCTTTGTTAAAAGCGGCCGCCGATACTGGTGTATCCTAAAGAAAACCAGAGGACGAGGAGAGAAGAAAATCGGCTTCCTCTCTTTTCACCCCAATGATCTGCAGAGTGTATTTTGCTGCCGTCTGACTACAGGGCAGACACTCTTTCCTAGCAAACCTAATGGAGGTAAGAAACCGAGGGGTGGGAGGGGAGGGTATAGCGATTGCCGAAAGGAAGCTGCCAAAAGCATTAATTACAAGTAATAGTAATAAAGTTCACGGGCCGATTAAGAAATCTCTGCATAGTGGCTGCCCCCAGGAACTCTACAGTGTTCGTTCTGTTGCTCACCCTCCACTCACTTTCTAAGTCACTAGCATCGCTGCGGGAAGGTGAGGGGGTGACACGGGACAGTGACGTTAGTCCGTACGTATTAATTAAAATGAGGTGTAGCCTTGGCTGGACCTTCAGAGTTGGGCCTTGGGTCACTAAGGAGATCACGTATCCTGAAGCAGTAATCTGTGAACTCCATCTCTCTGAACCCATTTCATTCTATTCGCCAACTCTAACCTGGAGACATCGAGGTGGGTAGGACTTATCGTGTTCTAGTCTTTCATACAGATAAGTCCTATTCCAGCAGGCTACTGTCCTCTTGGTACTGGGAGACAGGGGCTGCCTCTACACAGACCCATCTCCCATCAAGAAGCTCCTCACAAGGCTACGGTCCCATCACCTGGGAGTAAAACCCATACCTGCAGAGCTATTCTTCATCCACGTCTGTTACAAACTGTGAATGGTGTTCGGGTGACTTGCTGTGCGTTTTGCTTAGGTGGAGTTTTACTGCATGTTTGCTCACAAATGTCCGACAGCACAACTTACACTTGAATTTAGAGTCTGTGTCCTCTTCGCCAGCTATTGTTTCCGGAGACCTCTGAGCCGACGACACCCGGGAGATCTCTTGTTCCACTTTGCTTTGCTGCTCCACCGCCAGGCGCGTCATGTCCTTCATTTGGAAACCTAGGTGCGACTCTAAGTGACTGATGTAGGTAGAAGGGGTTCTAAACTGGGAGGCACAGTCACTGCAATAAAAGATAGGGTGTCCCTTGTCCATGTTTTTCAGAAATTTTGTCCCGCCCGTTTTCCTAAGTTGGTACTTGACGTTTGCCAGCCAGTGGCTGATCGTGGTCATCGAGAGCCCCGTGAACTTGGAGATCTGCATTCGCTCCTGAGGGCCCAGGTCGGACAGCAGGTACTTGCCCTCGGATGTCTGGAAGAGGCTCGAGGCGAACTGCGCCTGCAAGATCAGGAGGTGCTGAGGGTTCCAGTTGGACTGCCTGCCTTTCCTCTTATGCAAGGTGGAGACCTCGCTGGAGACATCCTCGAAGCGCCTCACGTCCATTTCCAGCTTCACGGGGGCGGCCCGCGAGGACGCGGCGGGCTTCGGGGTGGTGGCTTTGGGCAGGACCTTGACCATGTCGGCGATGTCCGACAGAGCGTGCTTCTGAGGTGGGGACGTACAGGATTGTGCTTGCGCGGACTCGGCCTTCTTGCTCTTGGACTTGGTCAGGTCGATGGGCTGATCGTTGCTCTCGAACAGGTAGCGCCTGGACACGCTGGCGGGCCGCGTCGGGGCGGGACTCAAGCCCGGCTTGTCCAGGACGCTGAGATTCGACTTGTGGAACATGGACATTGTGCTTGAGCTTGGGCTGGAGCAGGAGGGGGAGCGCAGGGGTTCCGTGGCCTTGCCCAGGTGATTGTTCAGGACGGACTGCAGGGCGCTGAGCGGGTTGATGCACGGCAGGGCGGGCGCCCGCGTGGGGAGGGTGCACCCGTTGCTGAGAGTGGGCGCGGGCTCCAGGGGCGGTCGTTTCTCGGGCTCACCGCCCTCCTCCACCAGCCGGGCCTCCTCCTTCAGGAGACGAGGCTCGGCCTTCTTGGCTTCCGAAGGGGCTTCGCTTTTGGAGAAAGCATCCCCCTCACTGTGGCTGAAAGGCGAGGCCTCTTCCCGGGGGCTCTCCTTCCCGCACTCCTTCCCGGCTTCCTCTTTGTCGTCGGGCTCCTTCTTCACTTGGGTGTACGGGGCCGGGTTGGTGGGCATGGACACCAGCGGCATGACTTTCCACTTTGGGGCAATTGGCCTCAGCTTGTTGGTGAGGTTGGGCCGAACCTGCAGGACCTGGGATCCCAGGGGCAGAGCCGGCTTGGCACCCTCCGACAGCTGGTAGGCCGCGTGGATGCTGGGGTACGCGCTCCAGCTGGGGGCCCCATTCTGGGCTTTGTTGATGGCTGTGGTGACGGTGTTTTCCAATGACTTCAAGATGTCCCCTCCGCCCTTGGAGCCGTCCTCCAAATCCTCCTCCCTTAGGTACTGATATTTTATGGTGGGGTCTAAAGGCTTTTGCAGAGGATCATCATACTCCTCCCTTTTCATGACTCTCTCGTCCTTGTCCATCTCCTCTGGTTTGTCCTTCTTACTCTCTTTCTTCAGCTCAGTCGTGGATGCCGCACTGTCAGAGGCTGAGTTACCTGATGGCTTGGGGGCCAGCGAATCACTGTTCGGGGCGTCTGACAGCGACTGCATTTTCTCCACGGCCAGGGGGTCCAGCACCAGCTGCTTCCCTTTCTTGGAGGCCGAGCTGGTGACCTTGAGGAAGTGCCCGGTGACCATCATGTGGGTGGTGAGCTGCTGCAGGGTGTCGTGCGAGCTGCCGCACTCCATGCACTTGAGGATCTGCGACTTGCAGGCCTCAAACTGCCAGGTGTAGCTGGCACCGTTCTGGTAGCCGTAGCGGTTGTTGGACGACAGCTGCAGGCCACCGGTCTTCGGAGAAGAAAACGAGTCTGCAAAGGAGCCTGTGGTCGAATCGGGGGAACACGGGCGATTGACATCAAAGACGCGTTTCTTGGCCGGGGTGACCATTTTCGACGAAATGGTTGGTACTGGCTCCTTCAAAGGCACTTTTTGGTAATGTTTTGTTTTTATCATGTGGACGCTCAGATCTTGGAGGGAATCGAAGGAGTCGCCACAAAACATGCACTTGAGAACCTTCTGAGCGTCCTCCTTGTCCATATCCTGGAAAGCCCTCTTCCGGGGCTTCGAGTAGCTCGTGGGTCGCAGCTTGTCCTTCTTGCGGTTGTCATCTTGATAGTGGCCCGTCTCATTCATGTGCACGGTCAGCTCGACCAAGGTGTCGTAGGCGGCGCTGCACTGGCGGCAGCGGAACCTGCTGGCCCCGGTGAACACGGTCCCGCACATCTTGCTGCTCTGTCGGTACAGCTGCACCGAGCTGAACAGGCTGGGCTTCCCCACCGACCTGGAAGGCAAGTTCTGCTGGAGGCTTTTGGACAGTGCGTCCTGGTGCCAGTCGAAATCCGTCTTGCTGCTGCCATTGCGGGGGTCACAGTTGCGCCTCTCGCTGCTGGACAGCTTGAAGCCCAGGCCCAGGCCCGACCAGTAGGAATCGGACAGGATGTTGGCGTAGACGGCGGTCATTTTATCCATGCAGTTGTGGCTTTCGCCGGGCAGCTTGGAGTGCGCGCTGGCCTTCTTGTCTGAGACATCCCGCCCGCAGATGCTCTTGACGTCCGACACCTGATCACTGGCATCGCTCAGCAGAGACTCGTTCTCCACGTCCTGGTTGGACAGGTGGCTCCCGGGAGAGTTCTGGTAGCTGAAGCAGCCCTTCTGCTCCGGACCCGTCTCTAGCTCCTCGTCTGTCCCCGGGTCATTGCTGCCCTGAAGCTGAGCTACTGAACCACTGTCCTCCTCCTCCTCCTCCTCTTCTTTTATTTCCTCGTCTTCCTTCAGTTGTTCCTCCTGGGCGTAGCCTGTGAGAGAGAAGAAGAAGAGATGAAATAAGGTGACAAGGGGACGCCTTCCGTCCTAGTTTCCCCACTTGGACCTAAGTGCTCCCAGGACCGAACGGAAGAACAATTGAATCCACGCTTTTATGACCTGCAAACCATGGACACGGGAAAAAACCAAATGGTGTGTTGGGTGCTATCTCGCGCCTTTTTCTTTTTAATTGACAGGAGTCACAAATCATTATAAACGCCTAGAATCCCAAGTTAATATATTATTTTCATGTCAAAGGCATACCACTCTACTGCTCCGATAGTGGGGCAGTTGCTAAATTTGTAGGTAGGACTTTCAGGAAAGCTGGATGGCAATTCAAATCCTACAAAGACAGAGGTCTACAGAGAAGGATGTTGGCTCATAAGAAAACTAGACTTGACCCTTGGCATCTCGGTGGTAAGGTTTCCCAAGACACTTGGATATACTGGCATACGATTATCTTAATAAATCATTTTTGAGTGCTCACAGGTAAATTAGATGCACAGCCATTATATTTTTGATAGCCAGTGTCTTTTTTGTTATAACATTTTTATTTGTAGAGAGTCACACAGCAGGAAGAGAGATTATGGAGTATTGAATAAAATCTTCCATTGATAGCTGAAAAATTATGTAAGCTCGGCAAACATAATGATTTTAAAATAATAGCAAATGGTGTTGGAATGGGAGATTTGGGGAATATCCTATTATTCTCAAACAGGTTTATGAAGACCTTTTCAGACAAGGCTGAAAATGCCCTCTCGATCTTGTGCCTGTAATTTCAAATGCTTTGTGATTTGTGGGTACCCGTCATGAGATGCCAATTATACGTTTGATTTGTAGATGCAAAGTGCTATTGGGGATGCATGCCTTCCCTTCTCTGAGAGGATTTAGGGCCAGTAATTGCATAGGGAAAATGAAGGCATGAGAGAGCGGGTGCAAAGGGAATTAATGGGCAAATATCCATCAACAGAGATGGGGAAAGTGACTATTTATGCCCATGTGTTCATTTCCTTCACCTGGCCTTTTCAGAGCCACGTGGATAAAATGTAACTAAAGTACCAAATCAAGGGAGATTCAGCCTTGGATTTGCAAGGCTTGCATGATCTCTGTGCAATGTTTTCTTTCCTTGTGAGCCTCTCTCTCCCCTCTTGGTGCAGGTGGACCCTTGGGAGGAACCCTAAGGTGTGGGACCACTCACATCAAGAAAACTTGGAAAAGAGAGATCATGCCCAGAGGTCTGTCCTGTGAGGCAGGCAGAGGGAGTTAGAAGAAAAGGCGGTTTTGCTGGGAATAAGGCAGCTCTAGCCAGGAACTCCAAAGGCTCTTGGTTAAGAGGAGACTCTAAGGTTAAGAAATTTGCCCATGGCCACAGAGCTAGTGTTGTGGAGTGACATGTCTCCGGTCTGTTTGATGAGAGCACCCATGTCCTAATCACTCCACTCCACTCTCTATGGCCAACCTAACGAATAAGAAAACTTTGCAGACGCCCAAAAGCTAAAGGTTCATTGAAATGTCATTAAAAGGGTGCCTAGGGGGCTCAGTTGGTTAACCAATTGCCTTTGGCTCAGGTCATGATCCCATGTTGGCCTCCCTGCTCCTCAAGGAGTCTTCTTCTCTCTCTCTCTCTGCTGCTCCCCCTGCTTGTGCTCTCTTTCTCTCGGTCTCTCTCAAGTAAATAAATAAAATCTTTTAAAAAAAGAAGTTACTAAATAGATAATCACTTCAGAGGGGAGAATTATGGGAATGCTGGAGAAGAAGAGCCCACGATTTGAAAGGCACGATACAGAGCGCCTGGGTGGCTCAGTTGGTTAAGCATTGACTCTTGATTTTGGTTTGGGTCATGTTCTCAGGACATGAGATCAAGCCCCATGTTAGGCTCCACACTCATCAGGAAGCCTGCTTGAGGTTCTCTCTCTTTCCTCTCTCCCTCCACCCCTTCCCCCGTGCTCTCTCTCAAATAAATATATATATTTTTTAAAGGCATGATACCATAAAACAAGATGAAATGTAAAATCAGTTTAGCCACTGGCTTGGTGGTTGTGCTCATTATTGTATTGTTACTGGTGTTGTGTTTTTGCTTTCCTAGCATGCTGACAAGTGGATTTTTTATTAAACTGGTGTTGCTGGTCCCCAGTTCCATAGATTGATTAGAAGAAACAGAAGCTACTCAATCTGGTTGAACAACCATTAATCAGTGGTCACTCCTTGCAAGAAAAACCCAGTTTAAAATCACTGGATGACTAAACTAGACCACCCCCCTCATCCTCGTTGCATTTTCTTTTTCCCGGACTAATTTGTATGTTTGCAAATTAGTATTGGGTATGTTCGTCATATCATTAAGCTCAAGGAAAAAGCCTGTTATAAAATTAATAAATGAGTTGTTACAGAGCCAAGCAAAAATACTCCAAAGAGTCAGGCAGATTTTTATCAATCAAACAGGGTCACTTTTGAGAATTAGAAGGGCTTTCTTGCTCAAAAACTGGGACAACACTCATTAGCCAAGGCTGTTCCAGGCCAACCAAGACATACAGGTACCATTCTACAAGCAATATGATCACAGCATCGCAGCAACACATGCATACACACATAACTACACATGAACAGCTGGTGGAAAAAAATCTAGGAGGGAAAAGAGGTCTTCTGTTGCCACCATGGATTAAGAGTGTGGCCGGGCTTTAGTCAGGTCAGTACTTGCAGTGCCTAGCACAGGGCCTGACATTTGGTTGGAGGCAATTCATGTTATTGTGTGTGTGCGTGAGTGTGTATGGATAAAATATACATGTGTGTGTGTGTTCCCCTGTGTGTGCACCCCTCCCCTCAATCTGCGCAGCCAATACAGTCATTTTCACACAAGGAAAAAAGAGGTGTTTTTGTTGGTTTTTTTTTTCCCTGCTGACATTTGGAAGCTGAGCTTTCCAGACCAGCTCAGCTTCACAATCTACTTTGTCCTTCTAAATGGATTCCCCAGAAGAAAAGTCAGAGACAGCAAACGCCTCCCCCACAATACAGATAAAATTTTCTGCTTAATTAGGCATTGACATGTTTACTATAACCTTTACAGAAGAGTAACTCGTGCTGAGAGACCCTTTTTGTCTGTTTTCTTCTGCAGAACAGACTAAATCTCATGCACCCGATAAGGTAACGCATTGAAAAGCTTCATAAAAAAAGTGCCAAAGCATCCGTCAAAGTGAGTGTATTTTAACGATGGCTGAGGGTTCCAAGGAGTTTTTAAAACCACATTTTAATATTATACATTTAAAACCGTTCACTTGACTTAAGTGATTTTGTTTGCCACCGGCAGCTGACACGAGAGGAAAGACAGCCAGAATATGGGTGATCTGGGTGCGTAATGAGTTATCTGTCTCTCTCTCTCTATCGATGATTTGTTTAATAAGACTGCATCATGTGCAAATCTTGGTAAAGTGGATGAGTGGCAAGTTTATTCTTATGAATACTTATTTAACAAAAGAAAACGATCACAATTATGCCACGGCACAATAGAAAGAACGGTTCTCTGTAGAACCTCCTTGTGGATCTCAGGTTGGAGATCAAACTCCGTGGTGGCAAACGTCTCCCTTTCCAACCTAAATTTCTAATCCCGGCCCTTGCCGCTGCCTGACACTGGCCACAGGGAACTTGCGCATCCTCAAGACAGCGAATTCCTAAGCAGAGCCTCTCAGCGCTGTTCTAAGTGACTGACTCCAGGGACCGTTTCTCTTCCACTCCAGGGCCACTGCTCTGACTGTGCCTTATTGTTCACTAGGGTGAGTGAGTGGGCTTCCTGCTTCTAGTTCCTCCAGGCGGTTTTTCTCAGAACTGCTAGAAGATCCTTTGTCAAAAGAATAAGATATTGGGTGGGGGAATTGTTCTGTTCTGACTCCTGCAGCATCCTTATGCTGTACTAAAAGTGAAGTCCAAACCCTCAGCCTGGTCTGCAGAGCTTGCAGGACCTGGCCTCTACCTCCCTGCCCCATCACTCCATCCCCCTCACCCTGCTCTCCCTGCCGGAGGCATGAGGCTCTCCCCCTCACTCGCTCCTTGCTGCACCTGCCCATCCCTTCCGTGACCTGGTTCTTTGCAGATGTGGATCTCTCTGCTCTGAAAATTCTTCCTCTGGACCTTCACGTGGTGGTTCCTTTTCATTCTTCAGGTCCCGGCTCACAGGGCTCCTTCTCGAGAAGCCTGTCCTGACCAGTCTCCCCTTCTCTTTGTAACTCCAGATCACACCTACCTACTTATTGAGATCCCTGTAGCACCAGCCATACTCTGAAATCATCTTGTTCCCCGCCCCCCATTGATGGTCTTCTCCCACTAAAGGTAAAGATGGAATGTTTGCACCCCATGGAGATGGAGACCTTGCTTCTCCCAGTACCCAGATCGCACCCTGGCACAGAACGGTGTCCACAAATTATCTGAGCAGATGAATGAATGGATCATAGGATGCAAAGGGATTATTCCAGTTGCAAACCTCCACTTCTTGATGGTGCAACCGGCACCTGGGATGAGTGAAGCTCCCTCCCCTAACCTTCCATATAGATCAGGTGTGAATTACAACCAGCCTGACTGGCTCCCCTCAATGATAAAGCCAGAACATCCCCATAAATCATCTTTGCAGACCAACCAGCCACCAATGGTCTTATTGCCAGAAATCCTTGAGCTGTGAATTTAAACTTTTAAGTATGAAGATTGAAAATAAGCATCAAGACTGCAAAGCATCAGAAAATGCACTCTTAATGTGAGCAGACTCTGATTCAAAAAAGTCTCACACATGGGAACTTTGAAAATAGGGACTAATTTTGTCATGAATATAGTACATTAGCTGTTCCAAGATACAGGTTCCACAAATATTAGGGTGGTCTTCTCCTGAATTCTTGCTTTCACAAAGGAGAAATGTCACTGGAGAAATATATTTTATATGCTGTGAACTTTTTACCCTATTAGTGTCTGGCTAAAATTCAGAAACAAACCCTTAAATTTTAGAAATTCCCTCTTA